TTTACAGACACAAGTATTTCCTACTTAATATTTATTTTCATTTTCCATACAAATAGAACAATCTGTTTTTTCAATACTTCCACAAGATCCGCAAGAATAATGACATTCTTATAATGATTGAATTTAATACTTTAACATTTAAATAAGCTATTAAAGTCAAATGCATAATTTAATTCTGTTAAAATAAAAAATACTTATAGCACCACCTAAAATTTTAATGGTGCATATATACATACAATTATAATTCAAATAAATTCTATATCTCCATCTAAATATCTTCAACATAACATGAAGTACATTTATCAAATTTGTTTATCCATTCATATTGTTGATTATAATAACTTTATATTAATTTTATTAAATTATTAGAATTTACAATTTAAACTTTAGTAGAAGGCACTACAAACTAGACTTAAATCTAATAATTTACCTCCGCATTCCTAAAGATCCATTTCAATGTAACGAGTTTTACATTTGCATTAATCTAGTTTTAATTATCTATTTGCAATTGAATCAAAAGAAGCACATTAATCTTCCCCATAAGCCAAGTGAAATTATTTTATTAAAAAACTAAATACTTAACAGGTTATTTCATTTTCTTTATCATATAATTATCCAACATAAACAACCATTTATTAGGCGTGTTAAATATTTATGTTCCATAGTTTCACATGTTTAGCATTTATATGAGCATTCTATTAATTAATAATTTTTATAATTACTTTTACACTCTGCTAAACCTGATTCTTCATAATATCCATCAATATATTTGCAAAAGTTGCCCTTTAACACACTAAAATTAAGTTCCAAAAGAACAATACAACCACTATCAATATTATCAAAACATTTTTGACAAGAATAGTGAAAACCTATTGATATTTTCTAATGAATGTGATATCAAATTATAATTCTCCTAAATCATAAAATTAATCTGGGCAGATACATATTGAAAAATAGAGCTATCTATATTATTGATCACATGTTAAACAATTAGATGAAAGTGGTTCATTATAAGTTTAACAAGTGAAATCACATATTTAATATATTAGAGAAAATCAGTCATCAAAATAGTTCGAAAATTGACAAATAAACTCAAAATTACCAGCTGATGAAATGCTAGATATTCTAATTTATGGACATTCTATACAAGCATCTTTTTCAGAACTGTTGCCTCATTCTTAACAATTGTAATAACATTCTATTTATTATATAATAAATGTATAATTACTTGAACATGCTATTTATTAAATCATCATATATTGAAAATTGCATTATTCTATTAGATTTTTCTGCATATTCAGATCCAAAACCATAAATTATTAATTCTGAGCATACATTTTAAAATCATTTAAAAATTTTAATCTAAGAGTTATATTTCAATTTTTAGCAACCAACTTACATTTATTAAATTTTTGAGCTACAAATGCTAACCTAGATTCGTACTATGGAAAAATTGTCAAATTTTATTAAATTAAACAAAACAATATTTATTAGATACAACAGTTTAATTTAGATATTATGTTTTGTTTAAATGTAAGTAGTTATCCATTCTACCACTTGCATTTGCCATTCAAAAATAAATAAATAGATGATTTAATAATAATAATTGCCTAATGTATTTAATATTTCAATCCAAGATGTTATTTCTCATGGTTCATTCTTTATTATTAGCTAATCATATTATTTATAGAAAGTTTAATTTTAGTAATCAAGTTATTAGTATAAATATATTCTACAAATAAAATAAATTAATAAAAAAATAAATCAAAACATGCTGACACAAAATTTACCGAAATCCTTAACACTAAAGTTTTTTTAGACCATAAAAATAAGTATCTCCTATTGCAATTGAATGCATTGATCATTATGTATTAAATTCAAATATTTGCAGATTATATTGCGATTAAAGTTGTATTTTGTGCAAAAAAGAAGTAAAGTCATTAAATGGATTTACTTGTAATAAATGTTATTAAGATTATTATATGGACCCTTTAAAATCCATGTTTCTTGTTCTTTACTATCCTAGGTATGTTTAGAAAGAAAAATCCAAGAGATTTAAGTATAATAAAAATGTTTTAAAAATAGTAAATAAATCCTGAATTGTGAATAAATGATTTGAATATTATTTATTCTTATATATGTATTTAAAAAAGGCAAAACTCTAATGTTATTGTGGCCCCTTTTTACTAAATTGCTAAATATTGCATTATTGATAAGTGTGATAGTCTAATCTCTTAAACTGTAAACTTCATTATATAATTCTAGGTAAAAATTTTGATAAATATATTTTTGATGAAATTAATTTTTTAAATTATTTCAATAAGTTCAATTTTAATTACTTAAATCATGTAGGAGCATAAAAATTTTAGATAATAATTCCTTTTTAAGACCATGATCTTTTTCAAAGCACTATAAGGTTTTAAAAAGCTTAGGGAATTTATGAAAATGTCTATATGTATTTTAAAATTAACCTTTACTCCAAGTCGCCATAGACTTTTCATAGTACCAATTGTTATTACAAATTTCTTAATAAGGAAATATCAAAAAGCTTAGGGATTTTGAAAATCTTAAAAAATCCAGTACTCCAAAATTTTTAGAGTATATTAAATCTATGTTTTTATAAAATATCATAAAAATAAATTCTTATAAATATAATATAAGTTAAAAGAAGGTATAAAAATAAAACTTAAATAGATAAAAATAAATTTCTAAATGCACCCTTACTATTTCCTTTGATTTGAAAAAAATCATTTGAAAAAAAGAAATGTTTTTTCTTTAATTTGAAAAAATATTTTAATTATATATTGGGAAAAAGTAGAAACGGAAAAATTTTTAATGTATAGATAAGAATAGAAAATAATTAATTTTTATTATAAACACTTGTAATATATTTAATAATTATCAATTCTACTTTTGTTGTTTTTCAAATGTATTTTCTAAAATGTAACTTCCTTTTTACTTTAATAAAGTTTTTAAATCAATGCCTGTTTGATTAACAAATTCTCCGCTAAAAATTAATGCTCCTTATGATTCAAAGCTCAATTTTTATTAGATAATAAGAAAAGTATAATAGTTGACTAGAAATACAATGAATGAATACCATTCTCTGGAAGTGAACAGTTTTAAAATATAGGAGTATTAAATTTTTCTAAAATCTCTATGTAACTTTTGTGCGAAGTTAATAATTTTTATCCTGTCTTAACATGCCAAAAACGGATTGACTTATCATTACTACCTGATGCTAAAGTAATTCCATCAGGGGAGAAGCATACTGAGTGGACATAACTAGTATGACCTTCCAATTTTGCTTTTTATTATCCGGTTTTAACTTCCCATAAACGGATTGACTTATCACAACTACAAGAAGCTAAAGTCTTTCCATCAGGAGAGAAACTGACTGATTAAACATCACAAGTATGACCATCAAGTTTATTTAATTCATGTATTTTAATATTCTTCCACTTGCAGTTAAATAGTTAGGCTCCATTAAAATTTGCTCCACTAATGTCTACACCATAAAATTCAGATCCATTTAAGCTGCTATATATATTATCTTCTAATTTACTCATTATATCTATTTTTAATACTAAATATTGTTCAGAGGAGAAATCCTTTAAATTAAAATCATTGTCTTTAATTTTTTTAAGTGTATTAAAAATAATCTTAATGTCCTTTCCTAAAGCTTCTAACTTTTATCCTTCAACTGCATTTGATTAATTCTTGAGTTCTATGATACTTGATTAAAGATGTCTTTAATTAACTTCTATCGAAAGATATTAAATAGAATCTGATATATTTTCTTTTCTAAACATATCTATAATGTGAGTGAAAATTTCTTCATCCACCTCCGAAACATTCTTAAAAATATCAAATAAGGTTTCATTCTAGTTTTTCGGAGTATTCATAATCTTTTTCAAAAAAAAAAATGAATTTCTATTACTTAGTTTTGACTTTTATACTACAATAGTGGAAAATATCTTTTCTATTAATGTTAGGATTTGAACAAAACTTTATGAAGATTTTGATTTAATTGTATTTGATGTGGAATCTTGAATGTGAAATAAAACAAACTATTGCATCACATATTTCTTTAAGAATATAGAATAAATGCATACTTGAAGAATGTATATTTTTAATTATATGAATTCATTAGATTTTATTTATATATTAATTTGCTAAGTTAATTATCTTTTGATCATTACTTCTTTTCCAATAGCTTGTTTTATTTTTAGTTGCAATTAGTCACTGAAGGCTTTTCCCTTATTTATAGTCTTCCTACTAAAACTATTGATACTCTTAAAATTATAAATAGCCTAATTATTAATAAGCTCTAATATAAGCTAAATCATATTCACATCATCATAATTATTATTTGATACCTTTAATTCATTACATTAGTCTTTTCATTTAGATAATATATTTATAAACAAATATTCTGAATTAATGAAGAAATTAGTTTTGATACCTCATGGGAGAGCATCTTAAATAAAACTCATTAATTTGGTAGATGATTGAATGTCAATTTATCAAATAAAGGGATTTGAGAGGCATAATTTTGATACATTCCAAAATATCAATCTTAAAGAGATACATTAAAACAGCAAATATAATTTTAGAAACAATAAATTGTTTATGGGTAACATAAAAAGTAGTTGATGATTACATTATGGAATATTTCAAGGCATTAATAAAAAAGAGGCTTCCATTAAGTTTGGAGAAGAATAAATGAAACAGTGGGGAAGATCAGACCTTATTGAGAGGTTTGTATAGCAGAGGATATCAAATCTCTAAAATCCATTCTTAAAATTTGAATAGTTTCTTGAGAATTTAAATAAAAAGGCAACCATAATTTTGATTTATTAATTTGGATCCTATATAATTTTTGATGACTTAATAATCATAAAAATAAGAGCAATTATATTTTAATTCTTTAATGAAATATCGTATTTAATGAAATCCATTTTTAAATAAAATTTATGTCTTAAATAAGCTAGTGGTTAATGAGGATCAAATCAAAGTTGATGACATTATTTCTTACCTACAATTTCTAAAATGTTTTTCTTAAAAATTCAATGTCAAAAATTAATTGAGAACTTGTTGAATAATTATTTAAATTTTACAAGGGTTTTAGTGCAATATTAATTGTTTAATTAGAGAGATAATTAAGAAGTTTACATAAAGCCTTTTAATTGTCCTTTTTTTAATAATTAAAGCAAAAAATGATTTTTTTTTTTTATATTTTTTTCTTGAAGCACATTATTGGTTTTATCTATTATTTGAGTTTTAACTATCAAAATGATCAAAATGTTATGAAAATGTATTATAAAAATTATATTCAATAATTAAACTTCATCTCTTAATTAAATCATAGATAAAAGATGATATATTTTAATTTTATACTTCTTGGCTTGAATCGGTAACAAAGCTAATCATTCAAACTGCTTGTTTAACTTCATTTAATGAGAAATGGCGAGAATAGTTAGGCCATTTATTAACAATTCTAGGTTTCTATAGTTCTGAGAAGTAGATGTTAAAATGATACTGACAAAATGTAAGTATTTTTAGAAATGATATCTGATTTTGCAACTCGCTCTCAACTAAATCATCAATTAGTCCTATATATTAAAGATATCAAATGAATTATTGGCTTTGTTTATTTATATAAACTATTTTACATATATTTAATAAATTAAAATAGATGTTATTAATAATTTCATCATATAATTTAAGATTTTTAAATTTTTTCCAAATTTTTTTACCTTTAACTATTTATAGTAACATGAAACCAAAAAAATTTAAATTATTATATATATAACAGCGTATATAACACAATTTGTTCTTTTCTAATTACACAGTAAACTTTGTATGGATAAGCTAAATATGTTGAACATGTTACCTCTATTTCTTAGAAAGTTGTGCAAGATTTTCCATAATCAATACAACATGTTTCACTAAATAAACAAAATGGATTATCAGTTGTTTTAAAAGGTGACAAAAAGGTAAAAACTCAAAAATAGATTTATTTTTTTTTTCTAAAGATTTTTATTTTTATTATTTATATTTTTATGTATATTTAACATAATTGCCGAATAGATTGATTGAAATGATAATATAGATCTACAGAATTTAGAAGGAGTAGTGTATGTATGATACTACTTAGAGATGAAATTGATATCTTTGAATCAGATATAGCCTAGAATACTGACACTAATTAAAAAAGTGTTCTCCTCCTTTTTGAAATCACTTAAATCCTATATTATCCATTCTACCCACAATCCAATTTTCTTATATCCCAACTCATTATAAGTTAATTCTTTAAACATATATTTTTAACAAATGCTAGGTTGAAAATTTTTGGCAAAAAATAAAGAAATATTTATGGATTGTTTAAAAAAATTAGATAATTATTTCTACATAAATTTAAAGCTCCTGCTGCTAAAAAAAAAAGCAAACCATCGAACTCACTTTTCTCGTCATTGTCTTTTTCATATATTAGGTTGATAGGATAGTTTTATTAAAATTTCTTTATTTGTTGGTAAATTGTCAATTTCCAGAAATTTGTATACAATCTAACATTGATTGTTTTGTGTGCTTTATATTCTTGTGATTGAAATTAACTCATTCTTTCATTGATTAATATTATAATAAAATAACAAGTAGAATAAAAATTTAGATTTTCAGTTTTCATATTATCATTTATATATATTGTGTTTCCAAAACTATTAATGTAAAATAACAAATAATTATCAAGAAAAATTATATTTCCTCAACATTAAATTTCTGGTAGACGATTTAAATCACTTTCTGAATTATTCAGCTTAACTAATTTTTAAATCATTAAATTAATCATAGTCTGCAACTATATTACTTAGGTTTTTCCAATTCTAACTGAAATTAAAACAATCTTATTTGCTTATTAGTGGATGAATACTAAGAAATCTTATTCATGTAAGCAATTACTTATCTGATAAAAGAGAATTAATTCGATTTATTTTTGATAGAAAAAATTTCTTTTTGATATTTCTATTTATCAAAGAAAGAATTGATCATTCATTTTTTATTAAAAATAACAATAAAAATATGTCATTCTAATCAGAATTTGATAAAAATTTTTGAAGATAAGAAGATAAATATTTTTGTGCAATATTTCTTTAAAAAAAAATAGATAATTAAAACTTTTGCATTACTCACTCACAGAAACTATTGATATGATCTAAGATATGAAGTCTTATGAACTAATCTTAATTAAGAAGAAAATCAACAGACTTAATAATATGAGATAATTATAATTATCAGTATTGGAATTTAAAGGTTTAATCAAGAATGCTTTAACTAAATTATTAAATAATATAGAATAATAGATTAATTAGATAGAAAAATAAGTGGATAAATAAAATTCTAAAATAGTAAAAACCAACTTAGGAAGAATCTCAAGTATACTAAGCTTCTTTGAAAGTATTTGATAAGCATGCAATTTATGATAAAATAATATATAGAAAACTAGGGTCAATGTCAATTAAGAAGAGTAGGAATTCAACTGAGTTGTTTGGTCAATTGTGTTTAAGAATATCCAATTCAATATAAAACATTTGAAGAAGCTAAAAAAAAATTAAATTTATAGAAGGGATAATCAGAAGATTTAGTTACTAAATATAATTCGGAATAGAATGCTAAGGTGAACAAAATCAATAGTATCTATCATAAGTTTTTTGCTATTTTCTTATTTAATTAAAGCTACTTAAAGACCTTTTACACTATAGATCTGTTTGATAGAAATCAGCTGAATTAGTTTTATACTGCAAAAACAATTAAGGATTGCAAAGATGTGATTGTTTCCTTGTTATGTATCTGGAATTTCTCTATTTTTTGGTTATAATAGATGTCATTAAGATAGTTCTATGTTATCAACTCTTAATGGTCTAATTATTTAGATAATCCATCAGTTAATGTATTATTTAATGAATGTCGATATGTAAAAATTAATTTAGCAATTTCTTGTCTTATTTTTTATGTGACATTCGTTTTTGATCTAATATCTTTGAAAATGGCAACTTGTGGATTTCAAATAAACTCTTGATAGGTAATATTGCACATAATACCAAGAAATCTTATTTAAGCTTTTATCCATGATTCTAGGTTTAAATATACAATGATGCTTTTGCAAATACTTCTATGTAGTTACTTAAATTTTTGAATCTCAAAATTAACCAAAGGCTTTTATATATGTAAAGAATATATGCAGTATTCTAATCAATTATTAAGATAATTTATGAATGAATTAATTCTCTAAGCTGTCTGTCATAAATTAATAAAATTTCCTTCAATAATAATTACATTCTAATCTCTAGTAGTTAAGAGAGTATTTATGGCAGTGAACTAAATTAAGCATAATTGATACCATAAACTTTTAATTTTCCAACTATCATTAGGAACATAGTAGTGTAAGAACTCTATATATCGATGTAGATTCATGTAATTAAAATATATTATGAAAACTCATTATCATATAAATTCATACCATCTTTTATTTCAAGGTTATGGTTCCTTTTCAATTATCCATTTAGTTATTATAAAAAATATATACAACATAGTTAATTGACAAATTAACTCTTCATTTGCTAGGAATATTAATTCTAGATAAGAATTCTGCATTTCACTATTGTTATAAAAAAAAAAAAAAAGAATAAACTAATATGTTTGAAACTTTTTACAAATCTTTGAAAAAATTATAAATTTCCCATCAAACTTTTGCAGATGGAGTTTTCTATGATGATTAAATAAAGATATTAAACTTTATTGAAATAATAACAATATAATCCTATTGTATACAAAAATGTAGATTTAAATTCAGATTCATTTTTAATTTCCTTTTATAATTTAATCATATTAGGTATGTTTATACAATGTACAGCATAATGAATAGATCATATATGAAAGATGACTTAGAGTGTTAATAAAACGAAAAGACTTGGTTTTATTTTAGATACGGTTATTTTTTTTAAATTTGGTAATAAACTTCTCTAAAACTATCTCTATAAAGTATATATTTCTCAATGTCAAAAATTGTTTGATAGAAATAATTTGATTTGAATTCTTTGATCCATAATTGAGTGTCAGTTTTCAATGGGGATTCAGATATTTGAAATCCACAGAAAATTAAATTATTTTCTAATTCTTCCCTTTCTTATATTTTTCAATTCTCTATCTGTGAAACATAATAATTATATCCCAAATAATGTTATTAACAGCATTCTTTTTCATTTGGAATTTCTTAAAATAGTTATTATAATGCTTCAAGAACCTTTAGCTAATAGTCTATAAGGTTTTTAACCTTTTTGATAAATGTATACATTAGTGTTATGTTTGTTAAGTTTAAAAACAACAATGATTATTTATTAAAAAAACAGTTATCTACAATTTCAGTAAATAATAAAGTATCATTAGTTATGGTACCAATTTTATCAAAATTTAAAACTTCTTCTTTTCCAGTTAATGGAATTCTGAATGTTTCTTTGCAAAAAATCTTGAGCAATTATAATAAAGTTAAAGATTTATTTACAGAAATTGACAAAATCATAGGCAATTCAGGTGGATCAACAATAGTCATAACTTATATACATGTAATAAATAATTTATTTTTATTTCTAGATTCTTCTTAAAAATTGGGATTTTGCATTTTTCTTATTGTAGAATAAATTTTTAAATAATTTTCTTTTGCAGTATTAAAACCCTGTTCTTCAGCCTAAAAAATAAGATTAATTTAATCTTTACTCATATAAAATGGATATTATGTATTACCTCATATGATTTCAGTTCACATAATATTGATATCCTGATATCCAAGTGATCATTTTCATGCTTATTGATTCCTTCCTTAAATTATGGAACACTTTTATCATTATTTTTTTTTGCGGTACAATTTATTTTGCTGTTCATAATATTATAATATTCTCAAGGTCTAATAGTCAATAATTTTCACATAAAATATGGATCTTAATGAAACTTTTATTTGAACCAAATGGAAGTCAGGAGAATAGAGAAAGATCAGACAGTAGGTAAATAAAAAATTTATGCCATAGATAGAGAGGATAGGTAAGATAACTGTTAATGATGGATGAACAAAATTTATATTGGCAAGAAGGTATAATGTGGTCTAAGAGGATAAGCTGGATGATATGATGACTGTAGGTGTGGATTAAGTGTAAAAGATGGGACAGAGATCTGTACTTTCAAAACTTAAAGTTTGATGGAATAAGATAAGCTTCCTTACATTTATGAATGGAGAGGTGCATAAATAGATTTTACATATGAAATGTTGATTCTGGACACAATGAATAAAACAAACACATGAAATCAGATGACAATCAATATGGCAACAGTATGGTTGGTCAGAAGATTCATGTTACATTAAGCAAAACAGTTAGACAGTGATCTAGTTGAACCATGGAGCAATAAATGAGGAGATATATATACTTACTATTAAACTCACTGCATGATGCAGGGAAGATTTAGAAAGGGGAGTGGAATATAAGAGGAACGATTAGATTGAATGATGAAATTGGTGATGGCCAACAAACATAAAGAGATGATTGAGCAGGTTTAGAATAATGAATAGAACTAGGGAATCAATTTTTTATATAAGATTACAGATGTATTTCTTTTTTTTACAACCTATCAAATCAAGTTTTATTTGAAAAAGAGACCAAGGGATCAGACAGTTTTTTTTAGATTGCTAGTGTAAAACTCTGTAAATGATAGGATAGAGAATTATTCTTAAAGACTGTAATATGACATTTTATGTGTGGATGCTATAACAGCATAAATTTTTGTAAATATGGAGAGAATTTATAGGTTGCAGCCAAGAAATCATCTAATAAGAGAGCTGTCAAGACACTAGTGGTGAGTCAAAAGAAGTATCTTCTGATTTGGGTGAAAAAATGCACAAACAGAAGCGTAGATATGAAAGATTGAAAATCAAATTAGATTTTGTTATTCATTAAAACATTACTGATCTTCTTTTGTATTTAAATCTGTGTGAGGCTCTTTTAAGGACTTATGAATGAGTCCAATATTTTACTTATTCTTGTCTTTTTTATATCTTCTCTTTTTTGAATAAAATAAATCAAATTCATAAGCCTTATGTCCTATCCCAATAATTATTATAAAAATTAAGAATTCCATTTATTATACAAAAATTAATGCTAATGTTACATGCCAGACAAGAAATAGAATAATCCTTATTCTTGGATAAAATTTCATTGTTTGAAATTTATGCTTATTAAAAAGCTATATAAATTGATTCTCAAATTTACAATCTAGAAAGATGATTTGGTTTACACTTTATATGTTGATTTAAATACAACTTAGGGTTGGAAATGTGTTACTTAAATAGTTTATTTTGAAGTTTTCATCTTTTATGGCTATTTATTCTATTTTAATGAATATATTTTCAGTTTTACAATCGGGAAGTAAGCCTTCAAGAAAATGCCTAAGAAATCAAAATTATCACTTAAGAGGACATTGATACATTAATTTCTGTTGGTTATGTAAAGTTCATGAAAATTATGTTGATATTCTGACAATTTAAATAAATTTTAATGAAGAAAATATTAATACTTAAAACAACATCAGCTGAGATTTGTAAAAAATGTTTGCATCATTTTCAAATAATAAGGTATTATGAGTTTTAGTAAATAATTAAATAGTTATAGCTGATCTTCATTTAATTGTCCTAATTTTAATTTATCAATCTCATAAATTTTACATTTTTATATATGTTACATCTAATTTAGACATAAATTTGTCGGCTGCATATTAAATTTACATTTTCTCTCTTTCTTGCATCCTACTCTCATAATAATTAATATATCTATTAATGCTAAATTTAAGATTATTTTTTTAGATATTATATATTGACTCATTGTTCTAGAATCTTAAATCTTTTCTAAATTCTTTGATTTAATAGATTTTCCTAAAGAATTTGAAAAACAGAATTTTGTAATATCAGAATCTAAAACTCTTTAAGATGATTATTATTTAGGCAATTTATTAATGAATTTATCATAATATTTAAATCTTCATCAAAAAAATAATTTGCAAAGAATCATTTCATTTTCCAATCTAAATAATTTATTTGCCATTTATAAATGAAAGGTCTCAAAATAGAGTAAATTGATTAAATTAAAATTGATATAGTCTTCCTATTGTACTTAAAATGGTTTGAACTTTAGCATATTTTCTAAAATTCAGCCTATCTTGATCCAGAATTATAAAATGAAGAACTAAAAATTCATCATTATATTCACACGATTACTATGTTAAATTAAACTAGAATAATCATTTTTATCTTCAGAAATAAGAATTTCAGGTTATTTCATATACACATTAGTATCTGACAAATAAACAACATAATAAAATTATTTAATTCTTTTAACTGCTTTCAATAGGGGCATATTTATTATATGAACTAGAATTTTTACATTAATTATAATTTAGATATATTTTATTAGCAATTTGACTTTAAAATATATATAATTTCAATAAAATTACTGGACGTGAATTATTCCCTTAATTTTAATTCAAACATTAAGTATAAGCTAAATCGATTGATTAGAAATGATTTTTTTGAAAATTAGTAACAAATAAAGGAACAGGCTTTTATAATAAAATAAATTGACAGCAGTATCAGTCATTTAATATTCTGAAAATACAACACAAGGGTTTTGCAAATCGTATAATTATATGATTTAATAAATGAAATATAGTAAGCAGATAGTAATGATTACAAATTAACAAAAGAAGCCAGTTGAAGTAGAGAATTTACTTTTTTCAATATTTTCAACACAAGAGGTTGTCCAATTATGTTTAGTCTAATAAATATCCTTATAAACGATTTTTAAACATTTTGATGTGTTTTTTTGGTAATTAAACATAATTTTTATATTTGATATTCTTTATATCAATTATATAATTCAACATCAAATCTTTCAATAAAGGATTTTAATAATGTAAAACTTAACATAATTCATGTATTATATAAATAAATATCAATATATTTATGTAAATATTTATAAGAATATTAGATTTTATTTTCATTTATATATTTAGATTTATCAAAAATTAAGTTAATATTTCAAGGTCTCATCAATGTTTTTGTCACTTATTACAAGAGCATATTTTAAATGATCTTAATATTATCTTTGAAGTATATAAAGATTTATTTATTAAATATTTTTTTGAAAAATAAGTAGTAAAAGCAAGATTAAATCATAAGATTCTGTTAGTTACAATAATTTGTTTATGTAGTTCAAATTTAATAATAATAATTTAAGAAGGAATCAAATTAGATTAAGGGAAATTATACTTAATTAGACTATTTCTTAAAAAATGCTTATAATGAAATCAATAATAACAAATACAATATTCACATTTTACCATTATTGTTTTATTAATTTTAACATTTCTTTAACTTGTATTTTTAGGTTTTAATATAACTTTATTCATGCCTTGCTTTAAAATAAATAATATTAAATTCTAGATTTCTATGAAAGTAGATGTAGAGTTTACAAAAATTGTTTATTCAATTAGAATTAATAGAGATATAAAAATTGAATGCACAACAAAGGACTATTCCATCTCTACTACTTAAAAACTAAGATTCAAATAGATATTTTTTTGGAAGCTAATGAAAAGAAAAAAAATCTCATAAATATAATATAATATTGGAAATCCAGCAGACATATCTCCTTCTTAGAGGAGTTCAACTTATTCTCATTATTTTAGGGCATATTTATGACTACGTACATAATTTCTGGAATATATTCCATTCTATGATTTCTAGCCAAACATATCCTAAATCTATCTAATCCACTTATCTTTTAGAATCTTTATTGTATTATGAATGCTTGAATTATTCATACCATAATTCTTCTTATGAAAAAATGTTGCATTATTCAATATTCCATAAATATAACTAACTATTCATGATTGAATCCAATGCAGTATGTGGAGTGAAAACATTTATTCCATTCTTAATACATTTACCTTGCTATCTTCTTTCAATCCTAATTTCTTTATTGTTCCTAAAATTATTATTGGATGATAAGCCAATTTATTCTAAATCTCAACTTTAATACATTCTTCCAATACAGGTGTTACTACAACCACATTATCCCAACTTGTTATAGGCATAGGAGATACTGTAATGGAAATAGCACATAAGAATAATGTAAATCTTGAAGGTGATTGTGAAGTAAGTTTAGCAAGTTCTAATTGTCATGCAATTTTAGAAGAATCTTTTATATAAAAAAACTTGAATCATCAGATAAAGAATATGATCTTATAAATCAAGCATTTAGAGTTACAAAGTACATGATAAGAATTTCGATAAAACTATTTTTACAATTCCAAGAGCAACAAGGAATATGGCTTTTTCATTTATAGAATGTCTTATAATCATGGAATCTCCATAATCATTTCTATTTAATTTGTAGAAATATTCAAGACCATCTCTGCTTGTTATAACAATCAATTGGAAATTCTGTTCTTTTTATGTCTACTTATTATTTTGAATAAAGCAAAAGCAAGACTTTCTATATCAAGATTTGTAGTTGATTCATCAAGTAATAAAATATTACAATTAATTGCCAAAGAATCTGCTAAAGCCAATCTTATAAGAATACTTACTATCATCTTTGTCCTGCGTTTGATCTTCCTCTAATATCTAATTCTATTCTATTTTTTTCACTAAAATTATTTTATAATTAAAAGTGTTTTGTCATGAATTGCCAGCCTTTATTTCTATCCAATCTATATCATTTCCTCTCTGTATTAATCCATAAATCTTTAGGTGTAATATTGACCTCCTCAAGTTGAGAAGAATGAAAATCCATTATTGATTTATCTTAGGCTTGAATGCATTTACCAAAATCTAAACATGATATTTCTAAAGCTTTAAATTCTAAGTCAAAATCTATATTATGGTGTTCTTTTGATTATAAGACTGCTGAAATAAATTTATAATGGGCCAACCTTATTATTCTGAAAATATTTCTATATGCTTTTTTTTTTGATTTAAGCCATCCAAAAATGAATAGAAATTTCAAATCTTAAAGATGAAAGTATAACATATGGAAAAGAGTTTGATTACATAACATAATATTCGCCTCATAAAGTAACAATAAATAAAAAATAATACAAAAAAAAGTTATTCAAAAGAAAGGCCTGAGAATATTTTTATTAAACTTTGAATTTTTCAATGAAAATTGATCAGCTAGTAGAAAAGTTGATTAACTTTTTTGAAATTCAAAAAAAGTAAGAAAATTTTCAAAAACACTTAATATAAACTCACTTCTAGTAAAATAAAAATAGAAAACATTAAGATTTTATTTAAAATAAGAAAGAAAAGATCATGAAGAGATATGTTTGAAAGAGCTCTAATTTAAATAAAAAAAATTTACCTAAATCATTTTATGAAATTAAGAATCAATACTGTTTATTGAATTAAAAACTTAGTATATGATTAACATTCGCTTGCCGTTTATATAGTTCACATAGCTGATTCTATTTAATTAGTAAAAAGTTGAAATATTGTAATCAATAGTTATATTGTCGTTAACCTTCGTTAATGCCTCAAATATAAAAAGAGGATTATCTTCTTTGCGTTTCTTGCTTTATTTAGCATTTTAAATTTTTATTCATAGAAATTATTTAAGTAATTGTTAATGATATGTTTAAAGAAAATTTTAGATTGCCATTTTCTTGATTAAAAAAAAAATTAACCTTTTTTTTATTACTGTTAATTGGTTTTATATTATTTAATATATTTATCGATTTATAAAAATTATATTTAGATATAAATATCTTTATGGATAATTAGAAATTGCTTTTTATAAAATTATAGGCAAGGATTTTATAAAAAGTTAAAAATTTAGTGAAAAAAGCTGGCTTTCTAGTATTAATATACTCTTATTATGATTTTATTAACAATTAAAAATTTAAAGAATGGATGGATGGAACCTAATTTATAAATAATTATATTTTTTATCAATTAATCTCCAATTGTTTTACAATTAATCATTCTTGATATTAAAATACTTGTAATTTATTTGTATAAGTATCCCAGGTTACTAAATACTCTCCATCATCTGTTATTGCTCCATAAATATCAGAATTTTCAAATTAAATAGATTATTCTAAAATAAATTCTCCATTTTGTTTTATTCTAATTAAATTAATATAATTTCCATTTTTATTTACCAAAAGCTGTTTTTATTTAATAAATTATTAAGGAAAAAAACATCTACAATTTTATCCATTTAAATTTTAAACTTCTTATTCTAAATTAAATTAATTATTAGATTAATTGAATTTAAATACAAACATTGTTTTTTGATTTCTAGGTTAAACAGTAATGATATTATCTTTTATATAACATAATCTATATCCTTCTTATTGTATTTTTTAAACTAGTATCCACATATTATTTGATTACTTTTAACTTACATTTATTACAGTCTCATTTTATGCACAAGAAATCAATTAATTTGAACTATAATTTAAACTCATGCTTCTAATGCTGGCATCATGTATATTCAAAGTTTGTTGACAACTCCAAAAATTCTATTTCATCCAAAATTTAATACTCTTATCATCACTTCCAGAAATTATTAAATCTTCATTCATGTTAATCAATAATGAATTAATACCTCCTTAATGCTCAATTAATTTTTACTTAACTTCAGATAATCCTATTTCATCTATATTCCAAACAATTATAGTTTTATCATCACTAGCAGAAATAAAAGAATTTGTTTTTTTCATAAATTATATACATCTAACATAGTCAGTATGTTCTCTATTTTAGGAGAGTCTACTTATTTTTCCTTATTTAAATTCAAATATCTTTATAACACCATCTCTACATCCAGCAATCATTATTTAAGATTATTTATTAAAACTGATAGAATTACACCATTCTTCTTCATTTATAGAGTCAATCAATTTAAATTAAAATGGTTTAAAAGAGATTCTTGAGGTTTATAAATCTCTTGAACTCTATTATAAAATAGCTTCTTAGATGTTTTATTTATCTTCTTCATTTAAGTTAAGTTCTTACATTGAATCATCTAAGGATTTAATAAAAGTCTCTGCCATTTAATGAAGGCTTTGATGTTAGAGTATATCACCAGATTTAAATTTAATTGAAGAGGTTAGAACATCATTTATTTTCGTTGGATTTATTTCTTATAGTTTATGAGTTGGAATTGTAAATTTATATTTAATACTTTATTTATATTCTTCTAATTTTCTATTGACTGTCTCTTATATTTCAATAATTTCATCCATCTTTTGATTTTGTTCATCTCTCTACATTTTTAAATATTCTAATAAATCTGGCATTTACTTTAGATCTTTTGGGTGAGCACTATGACGACCATTTTAAAAACACTCAAAACATGCTAATCTAAATTCAGAGCATGAATCATTAAAACAAACAAACTAAATCATCAAATTATGATTAGGGACTGAACATTTTAGCTCACACTAATTCATAAAAGCTTATTAAAAAATATAATAAGATTTATTTATTTATCAAAATAAGCTATAAATGTCATTTTATATCTTATTAGATTAAAAATTTATAAAAAGAATATTAAAATAAAGAAAACAGAATAAAAATTAAAATATTCAATAATTGAATATTAAAATTATCAATACTATTTCTCTTAAATTTTTAATCTATCAAAATTAGTAAGCAATTTCAAAATGATAAAATTAAATATCATTTGTTCAAATAATAGATAATAATGGTGTTATCATTAATAAAATATATGTATTTATTGCAAATAAATATAATTTTTTATATAAAATCATTGTTAAGATTAATTAAACTCAATTAATTATTTATCAATTCAACAAATTGATAGTAAATAGATCTAAAATAATGATTTGAATATATGTTTTTTATAACCGTAATTTAATAGATAGAAGAATGATTAATCTTGTTTTGAAATATGACTTTAGATGAAAAAAATAAATTGAAAATTATTATTAAGTTATTTACTATGGTGTATAATAAAATAAAAAATTCATTTTATTAAATTTTTGCATCCTTTTTTTATTATCAATTGATGAGCTTTTAGAGAGATGAATATATTCTTAATTATTTGTACACTTCAGATTTAGGTTACAGGATTGATTAAAATAATTTTAGATTCTTTTAATGGGATTTTATTTATTTTAGAGCTGCTTTTAATCTTTTAAAGTTTGTTCTTACTTTTTAAAGGACTTCAACCTTTGATTTTAAGATTTTTAGGTTTCATGATTCAATTTTATTTTATTTTGTTAAATTGATTAGATATGCATTTTGATTTAATCTATACTTCTTTCCATTTCATTTCTTTGGAATATGGATTTATTATAAAATAAAGTATGTATTTAAAGGAATAAGATATTAATGATCCCTCTCCTCTTATATTTTCAATATCACATAATTCACAAAGTGCTCTATAATTTCCTATAAAACAAGAATTATCATCAAATTACCATCCTTCAACACAATTTTCTTCATTATTATACCATTTTTAATTTAATTATTATTAAAATATGGTCTCTAATAACCTTTCTTAAATTTATCTAAAACGAAGTGATCTTATTTTAGTCTATTCATCTCTTATATTACATTTATTGGAATCAATAATTATTGAATATTAGTCAAAATTATAATCAAAATTAATGAAAGATTAATTACTTAATCATTTGATCTCTATTACTCTACATTATAAAGTATTTATATTAAACAAAAGTTAATAGTTTTAATAAAACTATTTTATAATGTTCTCTTATTCATCATATTAAGGTTTCCAAATACAAACCCATAAATATAATAAGTTTTAAATATGACTCACCTGTCTTATTGTCATCAAAATAAATTATCATATCATCTAAATTTTAATCATTAGTCTTTGTATTAAAATTTAAAACATTTTGAAAAATGAATGTCTTATTATCATCCTTTATAAATTTTTTATTAATTTAATCATATATTCTAGTTTCGATCTAATATTTTGTATTTTATAAATCCCTAAATTATTAAAATTATTTATTTAATGCAAATATTTTAAAAGTTAAATGTGTTTCTTCTGACTGTTATTTATATATTGAATTTTTAGTTTTATCTACTTCAATAGTTTAAATATGCTATTGTAATTAGTTACTGATAAATGCATTTGAATTTAAACATGATCGTTTCAAAAATATGTAGTAATATTACCAAAAATTATTGTTTTTGTTTGACTTTATTCTAAGCCATACTTTTTCAAAAGAAAAGATAATTATGAATCAATTAAAAATAATGTTTTCTCCTTACCAATAAAATAAATCATTTTTATATACGAATCTTTTTTGTTAATGTTAATTAAAAATTATCATAGAATAATTATATAAAAACTAATTTCTGTTATTTCTATTTTATCTTATTCTTTCTACAAATCTATATATAATGAGGACAAACATTAAACTTATTTACTTATATCCTGTTAAACATTCAATATAATATGATATTAAGCTTTTTATTATACATTATATATTTTTTATATTCTATTCATCCACTCTCCACTATTTTAGAACTTAACAATTAATCTAAAGATAGATAATGGAACATGGTTTTAGAATTTATTGCAAGATATATTTATTTATAAAAACAAAAATAATTTATTATAATTGTTTTTAATAATTATCATAAACTATTTTTGAACTTTCTTCTCAAGAAACCATAACTCTCCGAAAGACGATTATATTTTAATGCTTCTCTAAATTATTTCAACTCAAATAAGGATTTGCCTAAATTATTTTATAAATAAAAACATTTCATGATCAATAATTAAAAATTATCAGAACAATTATCAATTTTTATCCCTTAATCAAGAAATTTTATGGATTCAAGAATTCGATTTTATTTTTGATAATATTTAGCTATTTAATCTATTAAGTAAAGTACCAAGCATCTCATAAAACACTGGATTATTTTTATTATTTTAGATTCCTTACATTCGACAAGCAATAGCTTCTTAATTTCTTCCCAATTTTTCTAGCAGACAAACTTAAAATATCATATCTTGTTATTTACTTTTTTCTTTATAAAAATCAATATCACTAGAGTTATTTAATATACCTTAATCCCAACAGTGAAGAGCTTTTTAAGCATTTTCTGTTAATA